CTTCGTGCGTATCCTGTCAGTTCCTCAAACTCATCGGAAGCAAAGATAATAGGATTTCCAGATCGGGACGGATCACTAAGGCAGAATGATCCCTTAAGACCGGGATAAGGGTTTGGTGGTGAGTCGCCTTCTGCGTCGAGGGAGAGAGCCAAGCTAGTACATTGCGATAGTTGCTGTTTGACGAAATCGGGAAAGATCTCCCTGACAATGCGCTGTTCGATATAGGTTTTAGATTCGAGAAACATGTTTTCCAGGCTGGGTATAAGTGATGTTGTGAGATGTTTGATGTTCGTGTTGAGAGCCTTGGACATAGGGGAGGGCAGATTAATTGGCGATGTTGCGGTGATGGATGTATACGAAGTTGATATTGTTGAGAGTTGAATGACAACCTGCTCCAGGGATTGGATGTAGTCGCGAATCTGCTCATGATTAGAATCTGTGAGGTGATATCTTGTCTGCTCATCTTACCTTCATGAGGTAATCAACATTCTGACCAAGTCCTCGATTGGCGGCGAATCTCCATAATTGACCACTGGCAGCATGATCGGCCATGACCATATCAAACATCTCCCGTCCAACAAGATCAGGAATGGGCAACTCGCCGGAACCATCCGACTCAGTGAAAGCGATACTAGATCTTTGACTTCTGGACGATGTAACAGAGTCAATGCTCCTCAACCTCTCACCCGACCACTGGCCCAGTCCGTTGCTATACATGCCGGCACGCGGTGTGCCATCAGGGTGGTAGTCGGTATATTGTCTCAGAATGTCCTCATTGGTGTGAAGTGAAAGGCCTGAATTGCTGCGCAGGCGGTAGGATGAGAATTTAGCACTCTTGGGGCGGTTTGATCTGCTGCTTTTGGGTGGTGCTTGAAGACCCCGCAGAGATGAGGTGACAGAATCGGAATTGTTGTTGGAGAGTGTCGATGTTGTGGAACGACGACGCTCAAAATCGGGTAGAGATGGAATAGGAGGAGGTTCGAACGACCGGAGAGCGTTAATTGTAGGCATCTTGTCTTAATTATTATGCCCCTCCACAAAAAGGGGACTGACAAGTCGGGTTGTTGCTTTATGTCTCGGGAGTGGTGGAATGCAATGCGATTGTGCGACACAGGCGCAGTAGGTTATTATAACAGTTGCCGATTGATGTTTATAGCGCGCCAGAAGCAAAAAAAAGAAGATAATTAAAATTCGAGTATTTGTGCTCTCATTCAGTGAGAGAAAAGGACCAAGAGTTGTTATTGTTGAGAGCGACAGTGTAAAGCTTAGAAGACCATAGTTGGTGGGTGAGGTGTTGGTGGGAGGTTGTGAGTTATCAGATTGGATTGGATGGAAGACGAGAGAAGAAAGGAAAGAAGGAAAGAATGGGACCCGAGCGCAAAGAGAAGTTAGAACAACGAGAAAAGGCAAGAGCAGCCCAGGTAAAGCAACGACAAGCAGGATAGACTAGGACCCTCGTTCAATCGCGAGTCGCGGAGCAGGAGCAGCCCACGATCGCTTAATACTACGGTTCCAGGCCCAGCAAGCCAGCTCAGGTCGCAATGGAAGAGAAGGCACCCAAGACTGACTCGCTCGCTCTCAGGTCGCTACCTCATGCAATTCAGTGGATCAATCACAGGCTACTAAGGTGAGCTTGCGGGGGCGGGCCAAGTCGGGTTCGAGCAATCCTTGGCCGAAAAGCCACTAAAGAAACCCAGTAGCTTCTGCAATGCTGGGTCCCCTTTCTAGCGCTGCAGAAATGCAGATAGCACATGTTTCCCGGAAGATATGCCCGGCCAGTGGAAAAAATACTGCAGAAGGCTTGACGCCAAAAGTCGCTGCGGAGGTTCCGGTGTTTTATTATCCCCCCTACGACGAGCTGAAGACTCGCATTGAGTTTTGAGTTTGCAGGGGTTCAACGTGCATTGATGATAAATCCATTTATCATAAGACTCTCTCGTCACTGACTGACTGAATGAATGAGTGACTGACTCTGCTCTGCGTCTTTGCCTCTCGGACCCTGTTGACTGAGAGACAAACTATCGAAGCTAACAACTGAACCACCAGCGGATCGGTCCAGAGCTTGCGGTGACTATCAAGAGGCGTCGATCCGTTTGCGGGCTGGTCGCCCAAAAGAGGAAGCCTCCAAAGAAGAAGAGAGAGCAAGCTAGCGATCTACGATCCGACAACGCGGACCCATTCGCTGCCATGTCATGTCATGTCATTGTACTCTGAGTTGAGTCAAGAGCCAACATCTTTTTCATTCTCTTCCCCTTCTGGCTCTTTTCTCCGATTAAAGGAAAAACTCCCGTTCAAACTCTGTTCCTTTGAGGCGTTGAAAGGTTCCGTGGTCCTGGGAAATGATGACGACAAGAGGTTGAGGTTGGTTTTATGCAGATTGATGCAAACACTTTGGAAGAAGTTAATCAAGGAGGATCGACTAGGCCGCCCCTGCCACTAACGAAAGAGAGAGGGAAAAAACCACATGCAAGAGTGCGGTGGAGTTGTAATTGACAATTCATCTGAAACATCGAGGTTGCATTAGAGACCCTTGTTTTTAATTCTATTCAATTAAAATAAATTAAACAGTGACACTCTCACTAATTACCCAGGTACCCCAACTCTTGATGATTATATATCATCAAATCGAACTACCATTTTTGACAGTCCGCTTCGTCCGAGATAAACTTAAACAACAGAGATTACGTGACCTCTGGCCAAAAGGTTCAAGCCACATGATCGACAGGCCAAGGTACATCCCTGCGTCAATCATCTATCTCAACATTGGTAGACTAATGACGATGCAAAGAGAACCGAGGTATGCCATTCCCATCATCATCTTTTTCTCTCTCATCGTCATTCCAAATTCCTCACGAATGCAAATGCTGTCAGTCCCGTTCAACCAAGAATAATACGCCGAACCGCGTCGGCCCGTTGGACAGATTGGGCTGAATACGATGGAATTAGTGCCACACCGTCACGTCTGGCCCTGTTGGTCCTCTCCAAGATTGATCCCTGTAGAGCGTCGAGCGTCAAACCCGGCAATTTGGTCTTGTTCTGTGCAAGGCTGTGTTTTTTGCTTTTTTCCCCCAAAGTCGATTGACATCTGCACGTAGAACCCAGGGGCCTTAAAGATTTGAATTAATTTCTTTTTATTGCTCACGCGACAGGGCGAATGTCATCTGGCAGCTGCAGTGGCACCTCGGATAATCTACCCCATTATCCAGGCGTGCTTGGTTGCATTCGCCAATCGAATATAGGACCGCATCCCCTGATTATTGGCTTGCTCGGACCTGGTGGTTTGTGCTTTTTGTTATTCATGCGTCTTGTTCCCCTCGTTGCACAGACTCTATCAGAATGTGTAAAGGGTCCCGGACACTGCACAGATTCGATTCCCATGCGCCGGTATCAGATATGGCTGCGGCTTTTTCTTATGGCGTTGGCCGTGTCTGTCAGTGTATCAAAGCGTTGAAACTGTTGGTTAGTACAGACTAGGCAGTTCTGGTACAAGCACCTGCATATCGTTGGCCCTCACGACTCGTCTGCAGACACAGCTGAAGAGAATTTTAGCTGCATGAGTCGCAAATGGTCTGATACCGGAAAATCTTTACGAAGGATCAGTCTCTTCCTGCGGGGGAAGGTCTGAAGCTGTCTTCGCATGCTGAAACGCGCCGGCGACTGATTCCGGGAGCGCTAGAAGTTAGAAGTTAGAACATTGGAGTTGGCCGAGCCAAGAGATGTCGGCTCGGAAGCGAAGCTAGACTTTTCAGAGACTCATGGTTAAGTAATAGAGATCAAAGTCTTTGATTGGAGGAAGCAGACAACAACTTCCGATATACGAGCCCAAAGACCCAAGGACTACAGTTCTGTGTTGTGGGTAAACTGGATGTCAGTTCAAGACTTGAACAACTATTTTCATTGTCGTAGTTGCTGTGGGGATTCCAATCATGAGTTGGTTACCATTCCTGATACTGATATGGCGATCGATGGTGTTGTGACATCCAGGGTAGGTAGACTGAGAGCACTCACTTAGCGAGTATGAGAAACATCGATGATCCAATGAACCATAATTTCAACTCGCCCTTATGCAGGCCCGTGTAATCTGCTCTGGCTCCAACAAATACGGTCACTTAAGCTTGATAAGATAGAACATCATATACCCACTTACTTCTGCCTCATATAACGTGGTTATCCGTCACGTTGCTATTCACTAGGTTACCATCCTTGCCTCTGGGAGATAGCGCGAACAAACAAGTGCTTCGTCGGCGTTCAAGTTGAACTCAACAAGCTTGATTGGAACAAGTGGGAAATTGCCTCAGTCGTTTGTTCGACCATTAGTTCAGCTAACCGTAATGTTCAGATAGCGCTTAACATGGTGTACACGGGACGCTGCATTTGTTTGCTAAGGATCATCCTATTTCGTGACACAAACACTAACTCGTTGTGGTCTCCATGATTTTCTGGGACAGAAAGTGTCTCATATCTCTCCATTGATCTTGTAGCCGTAGTGATAGTGATATTGAATCTCCTTGTATGAAGCATAACTTCTTCGCGTTTAACAGTATCTCAGCAGGAAATAACTCTTATATCTTAGCATGCCATGTTTTGTTAAGACATGTTTCTCGCCGTTATTGACCCCTTCCTTTGAATTAACGAGTTTCTATCACTTCTCATATTCTGCAACTTATGCAGAGCTCAGACTGTCCATATCATCAACTCAACTAGATCTGCAGCTCGCCTACATCTACAAAGAATAAGAGCGCCACAGGATGGAACTATTGATCTCAACTCTGAAGATTGCGGTCTTATTCGCATCGTCTGTAGATTGACCTGCATATCTAGGGCAGAAAAGTGTCGGTCAGCCCGTAGCAATGAAGCAGGTTAGATGATATGCTGTGTGTTGTAAAAGGCCAGTGTATAAACCATGGAAGCCCTCTTTAGTTCCTAAACTATCTCAAGACTCTCCCCCTCCATTTACTATTAAGATCAAAGTCTACCACATCCTAATCCAATCTACAGTCATGTCAGCTTACAATCCAGTCAAGGATCTGGGCCTAGCCTGTCCCTACGGCGGAATCTTCTACATCTGCGCTGACGATCCAGATCGCTTCATCGGCTGCTGCACCATCAACCCCTGCGGCGCCAGAAATGGTCTCTGCCCTGATACAAATTTCAGATCAGCCAGCTTTAATGCGACACTTCAGCATGAGTTCCTCCCTCAGGCTTGTATCAATGACAACGTCGATGTCAGTTGGTACACCTGCGTTGGAGAGGGACTTCCTTTCCTGGGATGCTGTGCCGTGGATCCTTGTCTCCGTGGTGTTTGTCCCCAACGAGATTTAAGAGCCGCGAAGTTGAGTGACAAGGCCCAGGATGCACAAGAGTTCCTTGATGGAGATCCTGAGTATATGCCACGGCCTACGTCTTCTGCCCTTGATCAAGGATCAGGCGTCTCTTCAGGCAGTCTGTGTGCTAGCTCGACCACTGCAAAGATGACCATGATCTCCAGCTTCATCACTTCTTTCACTATGGAAACAACCATTGCAACAATTACCACTACTATTACAACGATGACCTCTACCATAACAATCTCGCCTCCAGGGGCTTCAGATGCACCTCCCGCGGGCCCCAAGGAGCATGGCTCGAACCGAAAGCTTGGATGGCTATCGCTTCTTCTCGTCCCAATTATTTTACTTCTACTTCTATACCTTGCGAACCGATTTGGGGAGAAACTGCCCTGCCTAAGATGTAGAGGGAAACTATCCAAAGTAAAGCTCGAACAGAAGCATGAACAGGAACACGAACACAGGCCGAACACACCTCCATACCCAACAACCGATCAGATGATCACAGATGAAAATCACCGGTACATATGGGGACGTTCAAGCAGAAATAGCTCCCGAACAACCCACCAACGTCCACAGAACATCCGAGGTCGACAGCATGGTAACGGTTCTACTATTAAAGCTGGGAGCTCCATTGATAACAAAGAAAATAGAATCTTCGACATGCAGAGTAGATCGACTCAACAAGACGTATACGCCAGTGTCCGGCGAACAGTTCCAAACAGGAAGCCGTTGCCAGGAACGAACAACCAGTTAAGCCCGCGAGAAGATAACGTCCGCTGAGGACCCCCTTTTAAATGTATATACAAGTTCTTTTCATTTTTAGATCTTCATTTCTCAAGCATCACCATCTCATAAAAGTCATCATCTCCTAAAGACCACCATTTCCCAAGCTCGCCGTTAAAAACCACCATATGCTTAAAGCCATCATCCTCCAAAGATCATCATGAGTACACCACTATGTGAGCTCGAAGGGAGTGCGCCAGTAAGTGATAGCTTCGCAGCATTAGTATCTTCAGGGGCTCAATTTCCTATGGCCAGGCACTTGATGACTCAGGCACAGCAGGACCAACAACAACAACTTGCTTCTGAAGTCTCAACAACTTATGAACCAACCACCACCATATGGATCCGGAACTTTAACCAGCTCTGCGATACACCACCTGCTGAGGAGAGTCGTCTGCCTTTCTTCTCACGTGACCACTACAAGCATGAACGGGTGGTGCCTGACTCAAAGTCTCGAAGGTTCGTGGAGTCTATGAGACGCTACCAAAGACACTGGAGAGGTAAGAGAGCTCATGCTAGAATTGCGGCCATTTCTAACGCTCGAAAACCACTTGCAGAACTGGCGCCCTCTGCTCAAAATTGGCGATCTTCAGGAGATAGTTGGCCACCCCCCTTGCCGAGACGTACTCGCAATAAACTCCGGAAGCGTCAAAGGCCTGATGGATATTAAGATTGGTAGAGAAGGGACTTTGAAACTACAATCGCGCCTTTGAGGGCGCTGTGGTGGGAATTCTTTGACTTCATTTGTGGTGGATTTGCATGTTGTTAGTGGAGGTTGATATTTGTTTGGATGGATATAGAGTTGGAGAGATGAAAGAATGAACAGGGTCGGAGATATTGTGAACATTGGTCAAAACACGAAAATAGAACAAAAAAGGTTGAGCAACTTGACGCTGATGAAAGACCATCAGCCCCTCCCATTTTCCATCTTCCTTCTTCTACCCAACTTGAACATGCCATGGTAAACTCATCTTGATACACCCAACAACATCCAACATAAACTTACCCGATGCAGCGGTTTGTTTGTTTGCATACTATTTCCGAGTCAAGACGTCAGATGCTCTCCGATCGATGTGGATGATTGATCTCGATCTGCCATACATATTATATAGCCTTGCTATGGAACTCGGAAGTTATCTACGAACAGCCCTATGAGATATCTCGGATGACACTCTCCACACGTGGATACCCGTCAAGACATTGGACTGTTATATCCGAGCCAACGATAGTAGAAGGATGTGACCTAGAGATATATCCGCATCGCAAACAGCTTGTCTTGGAAATAGTAGCCATGTCACTGCGCATGGATCATGCGTGCCAGACAAGGCCATGTCCACAAAGAGACTAGGGAATCAAAGCTTTATATGAGAACAGAGATCCACTCCCAAGGAGAGTCTAGAGATTCTAGACTTCCAACTAGTTGGTGTTCAAGAGCTGTTCGGGCACGCAGTCGAGTTACTACTACACTGCTTAAGCACTTAGCGACCAGCTCATTCCTAGGTCAGAACGAACATTATCTCGATTCACGGAAAAGTCCGATGATTGAATCGAAGTCATCATCGGCTCTTTCAGAAACTCGGATCGGGTTCTGTTTGTTCAGCGTTGTTCTGATAGCCGGGTACCACAGCTACCCAGGTTCGAAGAAAGTCAAAGGAGTAATGGCTCAGGTCAGGGTATTGCGACCGCGAAACCATCATGAAATCCATTAATTACGGATTTTCGAATTTTAGTCATTCTCATTGATCTTGTAAAGGAAATAATGCGTCGCTGTATTCCGCAGTGAGAAGCATATTTGATCGACAAACTTTGCTTAAGCGAAGTCCTCGCAGAACGTGAGCGGAGATTGTTAGACTCCGAATAGTAGCGAGCAGTATCAGAGTTTTCACCGTAGAATAATAGAAAGGTGAGTACGGAATAGAACCTTTGTTGTTAAGGTTGAACCGAAAGCCTTCGCCGTGAAGCCAAGACGACGACTGGAATGCAATACGTTTGGTCTGGTGTTGATCCAAAAGAACTTTCACGGGCAGGCTGAGAACAAAGTCGGATCATGGTTACGCAACTATGAGCAGGCAGACAAGACGCCTCGAATTCTCGAATAATGGTTGTTCGTAAATCAACTGTTCAGGGCGAAAGTGACGAATGATAATAAAAAGCATCGTCAGTGAGAGCTTTCTCGGCCCCAGTGTCCTAGCTGGGCAACCATGAATCATGCCCAGGAACAGGCGTGTTGGTCCCTGACCTAGAAACGGCCAGGTCCCGGCTGTTGGCTAACTAATTTTTGTCGTTTGCAGGCACCGTTTGTCAGCCATAATCTTTTAGACAAAGACGGATACAGAAAACTATGCCCAGGAGAAATGCGGGAGCTGCACTGAGGGGAAGATTGCGGTGGGAGACAGACACAATTCATATTTGTTGGTTCCTCGTCTGCTTGTTGCACCACCACCAAGACCAAATATCTCGGCACGAGCCTTGGCCCTGTTGATGGTGTGAGATCTCCATGGCCAAGACCCGGGAGCGATCATGCGGAGGTAGCAATAGCTAGAAAATCGGGTGTGTGGGCCTCGGGGAGCAGGAAAACATCAGACCTTGATATGTGGTGTCAAAATGAACTCAACAAAGGCTTCCATAAACTTATGCTGAATTAGCCCAGGTATTTTTGTCATCCGATATCGAGGTCCCGAAGTTTCTTTTCTCCCCTGGTGACATAGTTTCCAGGGGTTGAGCTGAGTTGAACAGGGATAAAAGGAACACTGAGGATGACCTCTAACTTATCGCCAAGAATGTTTATGCTTCGACTCTGCGCTTCGCTTTCTTGTTCGTCATGACCAGTAAGCTAAACGTCAATTTAATGCAGAACATTAGCATCTCAGTCCAGTCCATTGAGTATCCAGGAACGACAAACAGACTTGGGCTTGCCTGATGCCGCTGCCACCGCCATCAAAGGCCAAAGGTGACATGCATGCTGATTCACATTTGCCCAACCCTCGATTTGGGGTCTCGACACCCTTACTCGCAAGCTGAACGCCGCAAGTGCGGATCGGGAGGGCAGATAGCCCTTCGTGATTGGCCACTATAGAGATCGTCTCTCTCGCGGCTCAAAAGCCTGACAGGATTACCTGTTGATCTCGCCCAGTCGCATTGCGAGATCTGGTTTAGCCCCAGACACGGATGGCGGCGCCTTGACGGGCGTGGCACACGGAGGTGGTCGTCAAATGGTATCGCTTTCTGGCCTCCCTTACGTCGCGTGCAGCTAATAAACGACAGGGTTTTAAGCCCAGCTGTCATTTTGCATTGGGCTCAAATATGGGAGAGCGTTTACTTGCGGTGTGGGCGATGAAAATATCGTCGAATGGGTATAGTGAGTTATAGTGTTGTATCCGCTTCGGTCCAGACGATACAGGCACCAGTAAAGCTATCGTTATATTCGTGCCTTACTCGGTGCAATGCCGTAATCGATCATGTTTTCCTGGTCTTCTTCGCGCCATCTCAGCCAGTGCAATCCGTTGGTCCCGAACTCTGGGCGTGTGGAATGGAAGATAATCTCGTCCCAGAAACGCACATTCGTTCACTGACATTACTGTACTGATCCCGTGTCTCTGAATTTATCCCACTTTGCTTTTGTCATCCCTCGACAATTTTAAGTGAATTTATAGTGAGTCGTTGCTCAGCAAGTGTCGGAGAAGCAGCCATAATATTCGAGTCGGATTGGTCGAGCCAGTCCTTTAATAGTTGTTAGTAGAGAGTGGCGACGCCCTCTCAAACTCAAGATCCTAAAGAAAGCCTCTCGGTTGTGGGAGTACTTGGCTCAACTTGGCTGCGCCTTTCCGCCTCCGGACATCACTGCATTGCAAATCCCTCCCCCAAGCCAGAATAGGGTAATGAAATTTCTCCATCTGGTAAATGCAGCACTTACACATCCACCTCGGGAACATTGTCATCAGTCTTAGATTTCACAACCACGTAAGGGATACTAATTATCCTGCCCGGCCAAGTTACCTACCTATGCAGGGCAGTCGTTTCATGACTGATCATATACAAGTCTCGTAAAGAAAACCACCAAAGTTCTCCCCATTCCGGGCTCGACCCTAATCCCGAGGCTCGGTTGGTCATCAATTCATTCATACATACCTCAGCGACAGGAACGGAGATCAAAGTCAAATTCTTGTGGGCTTGAGACCAAAGACGGGATCCTACCTGAGAGAATTCGCCTACGGGTCTCCCACGCGGCAAACATCTCGGTCATCATTACCCAGCACACGCCTCTTCGTTCTTATTGCCCTTTGGGGGTTTCCAGAGTTTCGGGTGACCGCTTTGGCTTTGCTTGGCTTTAAAGAGCATTTTGGTTAATAAGAAGCTAAACCCTCGATTCCTCCTCCCTTGTTGCAGGGGTCAATTTCCCTGGCCTCCAACTTCAAAAGTTGAACTATCTCGCGATGCGACTGTCACCAGTGTCACCAGTCGATTCCAGTTGGTCATCACAGCTCGCGTCTTGATATATTCGATACTAAGACATCGACAGTCTAACGACAAGCAACGATCCGCATCTCTGACACATACCTACCGACCTGAAGGGATCGTCGATTACGATCTAATCCACTTCCCGCCATCATCATCTCCACCATGCCTCCCTGGCTTCAAGAAGGCAATGCCCAGGGCTTTTCGCCATGGACAGATCCAGATTCAACGACGGCTCTCAGCCTCGAGCCACGTCGAGTGAAGCAGTTCACCATGGCTGCTCTTACTCCCCATCAGACATATGTTATCCATGTTGCGACTCTCACCGTCGCATCGATTAGTATACTTGCAACAATAATAACTTCCTTCTGGTTCTTTCGGATGAGGCGGAGTTTCCGCCATGAGTGAGTCTTGAGTCTCGTGTCTCTTCCCTTCGCCCTCTGTTGCTGACCCTTGAAAAGCCTCATCATGTTACTCATTTACAGTGATATGTTCAAGAGTTTCTGGTTACTCATCTTCCCTGCCGTGGAACTTGTCGCTGGCAAGATTGAAACGACCGAGACCTTTTGTCAAGTCAGCGGGTTCTTCCTTGCTCTCAGCATAGAAGCTTCTGACGTTTCGGTCGCCCTCATCTCAGTACATACTGCATTGTACATCTTTCGTGGAGAGCAAGGCCTCTACCCATACCGAAAGGCGGCCTACGCCCTCGCCGCCATCGTACCTATTGTGATGGCCTCATTAGCATTTATCGAAAGCCCCGGCTATATTAACACTGGCCAGTTTTGCTATCTACCATTCAATCCAATGTGGAAGAGACTGGCGCTTTCTTGGATTCCTCGCTATATGGCTTTCACCGTTATTCTCTGCCTATGTATAGGCGTATACGTTTACGTTCGAGTATTAATGAGACGATTCGGCTCTGGGAATGACAGTTCGAAGAATACTCTTTCAAAAATGTCGGGCCTTGAGAGTCTCGAGCCCTTGCAACAAGGAATCACCACTGTACCGCCGACTCCTACGATAAAATCCCATGGTCTAATACCTTCTTCCAACGCTTCACGGCGCAATTCCTTTACCGCTTCCGAAGATCGGACGACAAGGCCTCCGCTCGTGGCATTCAACTCTTTTCATTTGGATATGCCTGGGTCGACGCATCCCAGCAGGCTTCATTCGGCACGACTGGCGCGAAGAGGATCGACTCAGATGTGGATGGCTAACTATGGTACTGATCTGACATCTCAGTCTGAACAGGCTGAAGTCGATTCCCAGAATTCGACGGGAACTACTCGCTGTGGTTCGGACGAGGTGATCGCCCCTTCAGCCATTCATACAAACCCCGAGCCTGTCCACCAAACGCCTCTCCCTGATGTTGTCTCACCATCATATACTATACAGACCGACTTCTTCCATCGATCTGATGGGTCAAGCGCTCTGTCTAGACCGCCATCTATACCCAATCTTTTCGCCATACTCCGTCGCACACCAGACAGTCCACACAGCAACGACACGAACCTTGTCTTGACTCAGAGCGGCTTCAACGCACCTGGTACGGTCAAGTCACGTGAAAAGATCTTGCGACAACTCCGGCTACTATTCATTTATCCGATAGTCTACGTTGTCATCTGGATTCTGCCCTTCATTGTACAACTTACTGGATATGGACGAGGAGCTCCCTATGGAATGAGACTAGCCAGTATTATATTTCTGTGCTTCCACGGCTTGGCTGACGCTGTGGTCTTTTCTCTGAAAGAGAAGCCTTGGAGGCATAGCCAGGCTTTCAAACGCATCAACGTCCAATTTTGGAAAAGGCGACAAGAAGTGCCCGATGTTGGCGCAAGAGTCGGGCGCACAAGAGAGGAAATGACACTCGATTCTCGATTCGCGAAAAAGAGACGACAGCAGGAACAAGCTGAGTGGGAAATGGACCGTCAGGCTGGCCATGAGGCCCGCAAAGCAGCGAGGGCAGCCCCCCAGTGGTGGGATGCCGATGAGTAATGAGGAACCTATATGGTATTGGATGTAAATAAGAGCAGCATGGCAAAAGGTCGAGGGCTTTGGAAAGCGCTTGGATGATGATACCCAGGATTTCATAGGTATAGATCATGACGGGGCATCATGAACTTGCATTGGATGGCGTTGCGCATTTGGGATGCATTGGGTGGTTATTTGGCGTATAAGTCGAACCTGTTTTAGATTAGACGGAGTAACTCCTAGATACCATGGTGGACACCCGTTATAACCTCGGGCTTGTGCGTGTTCTAAAAGACATGAGATTAGCATATGTGTTTCTGTTTCGGTGTGACTTCCAGGTAGATCACTCGATGTCTATATTATCTGGCCAATACTCTGTCTTCAGGACCATCATGTTATGCAAATATCTACTCCATGACCGAGAACTCAGACCTTATGATACTGGTTTCAATACTTGAACCTTCGATCAAATACTGTAGCCAAAAATTAATAATTCGCCAAATGGTGTATTATCAATCTGTTATCGAGTGCTATCTGGGGGAATTGGTGAATATGTCCTGTCTGCATCAGCAGTGGCATGATCCTCATTGCTATTTCTCCGTCCTCTCAATTTCCATGCGCCATCCATAAATCCCAGCAATATTTCTTAACAAAAGCATCTCCCGAAATGCTACCCATTAGCCGTCTTCCTCCCAATAAAACTACTGCTTCGTCTGTCTGGCGCGAGTCTCCTTCTCCATCTCGCTAATCAGCGTCTGCTCATCCTTTTCGGAAAACAGCATTCGAAGCTGAAGATCACCTGAGAAGTGGGGTTGCATTTCGTTGTCCTGAAGAGCAGCCTTTATGATCGCCTCTTTGGCGTTTTGCAGCAAGATGATTCGTTCATCTATGGTGTCGTTCGCCATGATGCGAACAAGGTAGGTTTCTTTCAGTTGACCCGGTCTGAAAACTCTCTTGAAAGCTTGCTCCTCAACAGCTTTGTTCCACCATTCGTCTACTATGATGACGCGGTTGGCCATCTGAAGGTTGAATGACTGCCCACCGCACTTCATAGAGGATACCTGCGTGTTGTTAGACCGCTTAATGCTTTTTCATTAAAGATAGAACGTACCAGAATCTTGATTTCACCATTGTTGGTGAATTCATCCAAGGCCCGAGCCTTCTGTTTCTTGTTGGCCATACGGTTGTAGTAAACAAACTTGATGCCCATGCTCTCAAGCACGCAGCCAAGAGACTTGGCAGTTCTTGTCCACTGTACATAGACTAAGATTGGAGTCAGTATTTGTATATCTCCTTGAGTTAATCCCAAGAAAACTTACTGATCATTTTGTCATCGGGAGCTTCCTGCATCCAAGTCAACACTACTGCTAGAGTGGCTTTTAACTTGAAACCCAGGGGCATCTTGACAGGGCCATAGCCTATGTCAACACGGCCACAAACAGCACGAAAGAACGAGGCCCTTTCGTTTGGACCTCCAGACCATCTTGTTCCGATGCTGTCGCGCCCAGGTTCCTTGAAACCCCTGATAGCTTTCACGGCCACGTCTATACAAGCCGGGGTCTTGATTGCTTCACCCAGACCAAGTTTGTGAGAACATCCCTTTTTGCGACACTGAGGGGGCTATATCTAGAGTCAGAACGGGTCTCCAGAGAGACATTCATCTTTTGCAGGACGACTTACCGCTAGAGGGCGGCCTGATTTGCCCCTACCACTGAGCGCGATGACGAGGCAGTCTGTGCAATAGATATGTTCGCACTAGCAAAATTAGCAACGCTCTATATGACTGGTATAAATCCACTTACATTGGTGCTCTGGACTGGCTTAACGGGAATTGAATTCTTGCGGCAAAGACGACAAGTAATGCCCTGAACCCTTTTCTCGTTGGCTGCCAGTTTCAGCAGCTCTGCCATCTCCTGAGCACCTCCAAACTTGTCCTTGATCGCCAACTCTAACTGACGGAGCCCTGAAGAATAAGCTGGCTTGAGCGATGCCTCCAGTGCTTTCTGATCTTCTACAATGCTCGCCTTGGTTATCTCAGATTTGAAACGGTTGAGCGTCAACCGGATCTCCTTTTCACGATTGTCCTCTCGGTAGAACTTTTCGAGGTTCAGTGGGTGAGAGGTCAGTTGTACCAGCCTCATGCATCGGAGGTTCTGGACTCTGTAGAGATTTGTCGCCTCAGATCCTTCCGTTCCATCTTTCTCGAATTCCGCTTCGCTCTCGTTGTCAGAGACATCTTCATCTTCCTGGGGATCCTGCTGTTGTTCGTCTGCTAAAGTCTCGTGATTGTCAGCTTGAGCATCAAGAAGCTTGGCTTGGTAAGAACCATCCAGAATACTATAAGATACGTCAGCAGCAGTACACAAAGTGCCAAGTTGAGACTAACTCCAGATGGATCTTCTCCCAGCCCGAAATCGGAACCCAGACATCCTGGCGGTGGCTCTTCGGGAGGGGGACCATAGTGCGTCCCAGGAACTTATCAGTTTGCTTTCTAGTACAAGTCAGTATATCAAGTCTTGTCTTGGGATATTGTGTTCTTACCGTCTTAGCATCACCAAACTGACCAAAGCCTCGAAATTTTGCTTTGCCTGTTCCTGGATTCTGTTAGAGGAGTTACAGACAGATAAGGTGGTAGCACTTACGCTCCGGACATACACAGCTCGGAATCTTCTCATTGTAGTCGTGAATCTGCAACCGATGAACTTCAGGTAGGGATAGAATTCTACCCATGTGAGTGAGGAGCATGTCACGGCCGTAAACAGACATACCTTCCAACTTGTTCGACAAGGGTGTACCAGTCAACGCCCACCGGTACTTGGCATTTAGATGCCAAACTGCAAGCGTTCCTATTCATGGTTAGTTTGCATAGTAAGATGAGTTGCAAGACCGACCAGCTGATGTTTGGCACTTGACTCCATGAGCCTCGTCCAAAACGACTCGATACCAGTTGACTTTGAAGAGAGAGCCAACCTTCTTCGACTTTGCGAGAGTTTGTAGAAACCCAGCCTCATCTCCTGTCCACTTGGCCTTGAGTTCTTGGTATTCCCTCTTGCTGAGAAACTGTGTACGCAATTCGTTCAGATTGGTGATGCTTTAATGTGTTAGCTGGCTGTAGTAGACGAGATCCTTTGAAGCTCAAACTTACACCACATTCTTCCTTCTCCACCACTCTAAAGGTTTCCCAAGTGACTTGGAGTAGATAACGCATTTATCAGCAAACTTTGCTGAAGCATGGTTGTTGATCTGCTCCATCCAAGTTCTCAGAGCAGAATGAGAATTGTCGGCAATTATAAGAGTCGCTCGGCAATACTCTTTGATGTCTTCTGGCTCAGGTGGATGGCCAATGATTGTCGCCAAAGTAGTGATGGTCTTTCCGAGGCCCATCTCATCGGCGAGGATACCTCCGGCAGGATGCAATTCCATGGCTTCACGCATGGTCATCCAGGAAGCACCTGCGAGCTGCTGGCTGTGTAGAGACGTTTTCATGCCCTTGAGTTTCCATTGACCGTTATCAGCCGTGACCCTCCTGAATCCAAAGCATTTTTTAGCTTCGATTAGGTCGTCCCTCTGGGTCTTGGTGTGTCTTGTATCATTCCCTTCAGGCATACCGGCCATTATTTGCTGCATCTGGGAGGCATGGGTAGTGGCTTTGATCTCATTTGCAGGTTCACCAGTCTCAGCATCCTCATTGTGGATGCCATTAGACGTAAATAGTTCTGCTGCCCTTAAGAACTCGTGGTTTCCACTGCTACCTCCAGGCCGAGTTTGGGCATCTGTCCTCTGGACTTTTCTGGGGTCTGTCTCATCGTTGTCTGGTTTTCGCTTTCTTTGCTCCTTTTCAGTTTCTCGTTCCAACTGGCGCTGCCAGTATTCACGTGCTGTCCTTGGTCGAGACCCTCTTGTATGTGAATCAAGTCCTTTCTTCGCCTGGGCGATTCTCGCATTGAGTTTCTCGAGATGCCGGTGTTCCTTGAGACTTAACTTTTCTCCCTTCTCCATCTTGTACGAATATGCGTCTCTCATCATTTCACATTCTTCGAGAAGCTCCTTGACTTTAGCGACACCTTGTTTTGACTTGAGTTTCTTCAGTTGAGCCTCCGAATCGTCTGAGTCGTATGAGTCGTCTGATTCACCCGAATCGTGGTAATCTGATCCCTCGTCATTTTCGGCGTCGGGATCATCTGCGCCCTCATCACCAGTGTCCTGCTCAACGACAATCGTATCAAAGAACTGTTCGGCTGTGATGCCCTCGTTCTTCTGTGGCTTCAGTTCTTTCATCATGAGGCTCTTTTTGTCCTCGTCGCTTTCTTCCTTGAGGATGGTGAGGTTGTCTTTAAATGAACCTTTCTGGGGCTGGGTAGACGGCCCCAAAATACTCTCGTCGTCATCTCCATCATCATCGATGTCGATAACCTGCTTCGAGTCATCCTTCATTGCTGTATTCTTGTTCGAAGAGAGGAAAGTGCATTCATCATCAGAATCCTCTCTCTCCTTCTTTATAATGCTTTGGTTGACTGAAGAGACCATGGTGGAAGATGAAAGGATGGAGGATGAAAGGGGAACGGGAAGAGGAGTGAAGGAGTGAAGATGAAGGAAGGAGGGGATGAAGGAGAGTTTATATACCCGTGAGAGAAAGGGGCATTGAATCACTGGCTCGAGTTGTGAGGATGGCCTTAGACTAGGCCTAGGCTTAGGTTTTTTGAAGGTTCTTGGAGTTGAGTAAAACAGGGGGCAATGAATCACTGCAATATCATACGTGTAGTACGAGAAGCTCCTTTCGGTTGGTGAGCTTGGATGAAACTGCCCCTTTCCAGAGTGCGTACCCAGTAGGCATAACGAATACAAAATCCAAGATCAAGACCCTCACGATAATCCGCACAGAAGGTGGTTCGAGTTGTCTTTCATTGTATTGCCACACGTATAGTAGCTATTTATCTACAGCCAGCTTATAACCTCGTGTCTAGTATTCACGGTTCAGGCGTGGCCCCAATTTCCGTCTAGTTGACAGATATATCAGCATTCAAAGGGGAATTGTGTTTATGTTTGGTTATTTGAAACAATACTCAAGTCGTTTGATGTCGTTACTCCAGCAAAACAGATTTATGCATTACGCCACTTGGTATAATGTGCAATTCGAACGCTTAACTGCGATTTCTCCTTTTTCAAGTTCAGCTGCGCATAGAAAACTTCCAAGCGCAGAAACTCTTCCATCCGTATTCCAGCAGTATTTTGCCTTCTCTATCCCTCCCGATAAAACTTGAGGAACGCCTTGGCGATAGCAACACCATCATGGGGAAGTGGCGCGCGTTTCATAGCTTCGTTGTACACTTCATCCGTGAAGATGCCAACTGTATGACGGTTGAAGAGAATCTCGGAAATAATTTCGTTGGTGAACTCGGGGTGTCCCTGAACTGTGAGATATCGCCCTGGCGAGTAGAAGCCCTGCACTTCGCAGATCTCATTGGAACCGAGAGGAATTGAGCCCTTGGGAAACTCGTCCACAATGTCGCGATGCATTTGGTGAATGCGCTGTGTAACAGGGTCAGTGAAACAGTCGTACAAAAATGTGCGCAACAAAACGGGTCTTACCATCTTGTCCAACCCGAAAATCTCCTTGCCCTTGTCCGTCAGATCAACTTCTGTGACTGCAACCTCCCAGCCCTTGTTACTGCGTCCACACTTGGCGCCCTCAGCTCGTCCAACGATCTGGTGGCCGAAACATACGCCTACAACTCGGATGCGATTCGTATCAATGGCCTTCTTTGTGAATTCAACAAGCTTGATGATCCAGGGGTCGTTATCGAACGCTGTGTGTCGAGAGCCAGTGATGAGAACCGCATCGATGTCATCAAGGGATGGATAAGAGTGTAGTTCGTTCACGACATCGTATCCCTTGATAGTAACCAGATCCTCAAGCTTCTGAGGCTTTGCAGCTTCTTGGAGGAGCGCAGTAAAGACGCCAGTGTAGCCACCGAAGCGATCGCGAGTTTGGGGCTGCGGGGTGTCAGCTTCGAGGATAGCGAGACGAAGAGGAGCCATTTTGGGCAGTGTTTGGATCCAATGCAAGCAGAGAATAATTTACAGGGTCAGGAAGTTTTGAGCTGGAGATATGACTGTTGAGCGAAAAACGGCCAGGGCGCAGGCTGCGAGGCCCGGTCTGGAGATGGACCCTTCCTGCTCGTGTAACGGCGGGACCGATAGCGGGGTGGACATGAGGCGAGATAAGCGGGCAGAATTGGAGACAACGATGCTTTACTACTGAATAGGGAAGCGGTGAGAAGCCTGTAGTTGGAGGTAGAAGGTACTTGGTAACGTTACAGGCGGTCTACGATGAGAACCTTAGACTCACGGAAATGATATGAGAGCCCGGTGTAGATTCACATGGAAACGGTGTCTTTTCACGTGAAATCTGCTGGGTTGTGGTTGTTTCCGAGTATACAAGCAGCATGCGCGTTAGTATCTTGGCTTCTAATACTCTAATGATATGATGCAGGCATCTAATGAATTGTTGAATTCAAAAGATACATACTACATCCCTAAAGGTACCTAAGTGCTCTCATGTCAAAGAGACTTGCTCAACAGAGTGAGATTTACTGTGCCAGGGAAGTCTAGGCCTGTTAATTGCAAGGGATAAACAACAAAGTTAATGTAGGGCTGATTGGCATCAGCAGGGCACCTTGCATATAAATGTCACGCATAGAGTTACGTCGTGCAAGCCATTTCCGTCGCAATGATAGAACAACGCAGAGACTGGACGAATGCAAAGAAAAATGCATGCATACAACTAATGCTATAGCTTTCTCATCCCTCAGTAAGCACCAGCTGCTGCAATGTCGTTTCGTTGACTCTGACCCAACTGTAAGGATGGGGCGAGCTCACCAAGTGACAGTTTTGTGGCTGATGTTCCCTGCAAAATTGTTCTGGGTGACGTCTTGACCGTTTAAGCTTCAACTTACAACTTACATAAAACACATGCAGGGACTCTTGTGAGTTTTGTTTTTTTAACGTTATAGGTGGCATATTCTTATTCTTATTCTTTTGCGCAATTTTATTCCTTTTCTTTCTCCTCATTTTTGCATCAAACATGGCGATCTCGGTCAATATGACTTCGAGATTGTCCTTGGGCGGCTTTTTGGCCAAAGCGAGAGCTGCTTTGACAGCTCCAGCGGCGCAACGAAAGGGACCTCTCACTTTTGTTGTAGGGAATGAATCAGCTGGTTAGTCGAGCCTTCATTATATCTGAAGGCAGTCTCAGCTAACAAAAACAGACCTCGACTCTCTCTGCTCAGCTCTTGTCTACGCTTATATGCGCACTCATACCCCTCCTCATACCCTACACATTCCCCTCTCAAACCTGCCCCGCGATGACCTCGCTCTTCGCACCGAGATGTCAGCAGTTCTCAAACACGCTGGGCTTACTCTTAAAGATCTACTAACTCTATCTGAACTTCCAGACCTCAAACCTGAGGAAACACGCTGGTTGCTGGTTGATCATAACTCCCTCACAGGTCCACTTAAGAAGTTTTCGGACCATGTTACTGGCTGTGTTGATCACCATGCCGATGAGAACGTTATCGACAAAGATACAGACCCAAGAGTCGTTGAACCTTGTGGAAGCTGTATGAGCTTGGTGGTGGATGAGACGAGGAAGACCTGGGAGGAAATTTCGCACCTGAGTCCTGAGGATAGCGATGCGGCTACGGAGAACGACAAGCTTACTAGACTTGCGCTTGCTCCTATCGTCTCCGACACGATAAACCTCACGGCCAAGGAAAAGGTTCGAGAGAAGGACTTGAAGGCGGTTGAATTCCTAGAGGGGCGCATGCACAAATCCTTCAACCGCACAGCCTACTTTGACGAGATCTCCGCTGTAAAGGAGGATATTTCCGACTTGAGCTTCCGCGACATTCTGCGCAAGGACTACAAAGAATGGGACGGCTCAGGCCTAAAGCTTGGAATAAGCTGTGTGGTACAAGACTTCAGCTACCTCGTAGACAAAGCTGGTGCTTCAGAGCCGCTGATCGATGCCTTTGAGGACTGGGCGAAGGAGCGCGAACTCGATGTGGCAAGCATAATGACCACGTCCCATCCCAACGGGGAGTTTCAACGTCATCTACTTGTCTGGGGTATTACCGATCAAGGTCGTGAGGCGGTGGATAGGTTCGTGCAAGCTGGCGATAAGTTAAAGTTGGAGACGTGGAAGGAGGGAGAGCTGGATCATCATGGGCACAAGAGGTTTGCCTGGAGGCAGAAGGAACTTGCTGCGAGTAGAAAGCAGGTTGCGCCTTTGTTGAGGGAGGCTCTTAAGAAGAGTTGACTGCAAGGGTTACAGAGTTCCAAGATATAGCTGTGCTGGGCAACGGGAGAGCGACATGTCATTGAAAGAGGACATATCATTGCACGTCATGAGATTCTACTTGAGACCGAGAAAGAAATCATGTTCCTAGATGCATCATGATATTGTTACATATGATTTGTTATACACAAGACCCGAACCCTGTACTATGCTTTTCCAATGCTTATTCGCGAAACTATTCTTCCTCAGTGAAATTCAGTTCCTTAGACGCATTCATGCCCTGATACATTCTCTGCCTGGCAAAGTACGCAGAAGTCTCAGTATGCAGAGCCTCAACCTCCCTTAACATCCTGAGATACTGTCTGTTCGCCAACCTCTGCCTACCATAATGTGACCGTACGGGAATATCACCAGGACTTGCTTCCAGGAGTTTTGCAGCCGCTGGATCAGCGACCCTGATGCACGCCTTGAGCGAATTGTACAGTGGGCCAAACATGGGTAAGGGCTGAGGCTCGTTGATCATCTCATCATACACCCAATGTAGATTGTCGATGCAAAAGACCTGGTTGCCGGTACGTGCCATTTCCTCGTAGACCGTTTTGTAGACATCTGAGCTCCTGTTTTTCTTGAAGAGAGATGGTCTGCGGAATATGTCCCAGAATCGGGGCCAGTCCCCTCGTTTCGCGTAGGCAGACAGCAACCTGCTCGTTTGGCCGTTGTTGAATCCGCAGTCCTTCTGCACCATAAGTGTTTCGAGGTTCTTCTGAGCACGCGCAAGCTGAGGCTGTCCAAATGACGGCGATAAGAGACCTCCCTCGATAAGCGTGAAGAACATTTTATCTGTCCAGATGATCATGCCTCGCTCCTCGGCCGTTAGTAAAATCTGATCGACAAGCGTGAGCCGTGGTCCGGAAGCAGGCTCAGCTGCAGGCGCTATCATAGCATCGTGGACGAACTGATAGATTTGGCCCTGATCAAGGGGCAACCCGACCAGCTGGATATGCTCAAAGCGCTTACGGACCTGTTCCAGATCTGGGGTCGTTTGCGCTGAGTGGTCTTGAAGGTCAACGAGTTCGTCTGGTACGGCGGGAGAAGTGTGAGTATTATGTGAAGGCTCTGGTGAAAGCCGCCGAGCGCTCGTGGTGTAGGCACGTCGTTGTTGTTGGGACGCTTTTTGTAGGGCCTGCCATTGTTGGGCAGACTCTGACTTGGGGAGCTGAACCTTGGTGGCTAGAAGTTCATCGAGTTCCTCAGGGCTGTTGATCTTCTCACCGCGAGCTTGCTTATTTTCACGTAAACTCTTCTTTAGAACAGTCTGCCACAGAGTCTCGAGGTCAAGCTCTGCACGCCGGGATTCCGTCATACATTGGATAACCACTGTGGTGCCTGTTTGGGGGGCACCAAAACCAGAGAAGCGGCCACTATCATCTAACTTGGCAGCTTCATCGACGTTGTCGCTGTTGGAGGAAAAGTTCACGCAGACCCATCCTGTCGAGATACCATTGTCGCCACCAGGAATAATAGCAGTATTGGTACCCATGAGCTTGGCCTTTTTCCGAAGTCGACGGAGTTTAGTCCTTAATTCACCAGGCCCAATCAATCCATCGGCTCTTGCAGATATGTTGTGATTTTTTCGAAGCCATCGTACAAAACGCCCGGACGCAATGTGAAGATGTCGTTCACTTCGAGCTGTCGCAAAAAGCATGATCAAATTGGGACCAAGAGCAGCTGGAGGATCAAGGTCGCGCATGTCCAGCATAGAGATCTCGTCTAGTCCCATGTCTTCGAAGATGTATTTCACCATTGGTTCCAGGACTTCAGGTGCACCTTCGGGTATCTTTGGTAATTGGACGGCATGTTGATTCTCGGGATGTCGCGGGGGTTCAACCTCAAGAAACCAGGGAACTTCTTCAGGATCTTCGGCCTCTTCTGCAGCGTCAAGTTCCGAATTGAGAGCGTCGCTTGGATGAACCGGGGTCGAAGACTCTTTTTCGATTATCGTCTCGTTCACTTTAACATACGAGTAGAACCTTGTCGCTAGTGTCGCTAGAGGAAGCCGTCGTGAAGTGGTCTGTGGCAAGCTGCGAAAAGAGCTTGTGGCTGGCCTTGAAACAACAGCACGAATAATGGCGGATTGGCACTGGCGGCAGCTCAATGCCGCAGCCGCAGGTCGAGTGAGCATGTTGAAGTTGATCTCTCAATTGAGATGCAAGACCAGAAAATCAGAGCCACGGAGCTAAAGAAGCGTAGAGCGTCATGGCTGAATTTGGTACAGTCCAGTTATGAAGTGGAGAAGAACGAGTTTACAGCTCTCGATCGGCTGAGGCGGGCTCCATAGAATAAAATCTGCACCCTGGAGAGTACCTACAGCAAAGAGTATCTACCTGAACGGAACCTCAAATTCAGGTCTAATCAGGGCCAAAAAGGACTAGAAGCTATGTTAGAGCCTCGAGATTAACATAATTTACATAAAAAATTAGCAATAATATTTCCAATATTTTCTCAATGTTCGCCAATTGGGAATCTAGTGCACCCACTTTCATCTCTATAGTCTTCTCGAATTTCAGGTGGGTCTGAAAAGAAGTCCCCTGCCTTTCTATTGCCACGATTTGTTTCACACGTGACCTCTCTAGTGCTTCTCAGTTCACCGTCCAATCCTTTGGATGCTGAAAAATTTGGAGATAGATTCTAAGTATCTGCTTCACGCGACAGCAGCAACAGGACAAGACTTGTCCATCAACAATTGTTGCGACACTCCTTCTTGTACTCGTCTTGTCTACAAGTCGAATTCATTAGCTCGTGTTATTTGTTTCCTGCCTAATGTTATAATATTCCATTAACTCAGCAGTCATTCTCTGTTGAGCTTCTCGCAGCTGGGCAATTTCGCCCCCTCATAACCACCGCTCTTCCGGCGACTCCCACCAAACCATCACAATGTTCGTTCGACAAACGAGGAGGAGCCTAGCTCTTCACAAGGCCACTGCCCTCCGATCAATTGGACTTCCTTCAAGATCTTTACCATCACACATCACAGCAACGAACCTGGGACGAAGATGTGTTGTCTCTCAGCCATACCAACCCCGCAAGCGCCGAGGCTCAGAGTCTGGCCCCGGGCTCAACCATGGAAGGAATCTCGCGACAGCTGTCGACGATTACAACTTTGGTCACAACCTTGGTGCTTTACACAGCCAGCTTGCTAGCTCTGGTCTACAGCCTTTCCAGGCTCCCCCGCCGTCCTACTCCGACCTTCGTTCCCTTGACCCGACGTCTCTATTGACAATTCCAGAGCCAGTAGCACCTCGACAATACGGCAAAATCAACAACAAGGGTGTTCCTGGTGAGGTAGAAGAGATGATTCCAGTCTTCGATGCTTGTGTACGCGTGGGCAAGCTTGATCGAGCATCCCTCGTTCTGAAGCGACTTAACTTGACTGGTTTGCTTCCTGGTGAAGAAATGATCATTTTGCACAATCAATATCTCCGCGCATCCCTCGACCAACTTAGAATGAACCCCGATCGAAAGCAAGCCGAACGACTCCACAAGTGGTACGAGTTGCAAATAAGGAACCAGAATATACCACAAACCGCGGAGACAATCGCATGCATGCTCAAGGCCTCACTGATCTCGGAACGTGGAGCCCGCTTGGAACGACTCATCAACCGTTACATGAGCATGGCTCCTGACGAGGCCGGTCTGCGGGTGTTGAGCAGAGCCGATATTCTCAGCGACCAGGACCTTGGTGTTATCACTGAAATTTGCCCTACTTACAGGGTCGAGCCCGGATCTGAGGAAACCAGCTACGTTAGTCTGGCAAGCGAAGAGGAGGGACTTGAACTGGAAGAGGACCTCAGTGAGGACATGGCGGCGTTTGCAAGTGAAGACTATCCCGAGGTCCGTCCGACACCCCAACGAGGAGAGGGTCTGAACGCTTTACGACGAAATCTGAACCTCATGGCCGAACTCCAAAATGTGGATATTTCCAAGCTGGATCCTTTGGAGCAGCGCGAATTCCAAATGCGCCTAGAAAAGGACTCCATCGACACTGCTATTGAGAAATGGCGAAACGCAAAGAAGAAGATGGATAAGATGGGTATTAACACAGCTCTGAGTGCCAAGGCTGAGGATAAGAGTCTTTCTGATTGCATGCACCGCTGGCTCGTAGCTATGGAGGCCCGTTTAAGACAAGAGATCATCAAGGTCGAGGAATCCGAAGAAAAGGAAGTCAAGTCTGAAGAGGATCTCGAGCGCTGCATCTATGGTCCTATCCTTCGAATGGCAGACCCTACCCGAATGGCTGCAGTGACTATTCTCACTCTGCTCAACATCAGTGCATTACAGGGCGTTGATAAGGGTGTGGTCATTCATCGACTCCTCAACGACGTTTCTCGAGTAGCCCAGGACGACATTCAGACTCAGCTCAAGGAAAAGGCCGCAAAGGAGCGACGCCGGCTCCGCAAGGTCCAGTTTCTCACAGACGAAAAAGGGGCTAAAGCAGCTGAGTTGAAGAAGACGACAAAGACAACTGAGCCGATAGACGCGAGGGAATCGACTGAAGCAAATGCTTCTACAGAGGCGAAGGAGTCTACGGAGCCTGATGCGTCTACCGAGACGACTGGGAAGGTCCGGCAAAAGATCATTACTGATGCTTATGAGCCAACTGGAGCAAAAGACCCTGTGCTATCAGCATGGTCTATGCAAGTGAGGGCCCGTATTGGATCGATCCTCTTGAAATCTCTCATTGAGACCGCCAAGATTAATGTTGTAAAAGAACACCCTATTTCAAAGGAACGGATCAGCCAACTCCAGCCTGCCTTTTCTCATATGCACGCTCCCAAAAAGGGGAAGAAGGTCGGAATGTTAACCATCAACCCAGAGCTTGTCGACCGGTTGAAACGGGAACCGTTAGGTGATTTCCTTGCTAAGCACCTGCCTATGATTTCCGAGCCTAGACCGTGGACTCGCGTCAATGAAGGAGGCTTCTTGGTTAGCAGAGCCTCCTTAATTCGTGTCAAGTCAGGAGACGTTGAGCAAAAGCTCTACGCCAATGCGGCCATTAAGCGTGGCGACATGGACCAAGTCTTCAAGGGCTTGGATGTGCTGGGGAAAACACCATGGAGGGTCAACAACCAGGTTCTCGACGTGATGGTCGAGGCCTGGAACAGTGGTGATGCCATCGCCAACATGCCAGAGCTCACGCCCAACCTTGAGATGCCTCCAGAACCCACAAACTCAGACCCTCTTCTTCACCGGGCTTGGATTCGAAAGGTCAAGCAGGTCGAGAACGAGCGTGGAGCCCTTCATTCACAACGATGCTACATGAACTTGCAATTAGAGATCGCTCGCGCATTCCGCAAGCAAGTCATTTACTTCCCTCACAACATGGACTATCGCGGCCGTGCTTATCCTATCCCGACATATTTGAACCACATGGGAGCTGATCACACACGTGCTCTCCTGAAATTCGCCGAGGGGAAGAGACTTGGCCAGCAAGGTCTTCGATGGCTCAAAATCCACCTTGCTAATCTGTACGGCTTCGACAAGGCCTCATTCGCCGAGAGAGAGGCATTTGCCACCGACAACCTTGCCAACGTTAGAGAGAGTGTCGAGAACCCTCTGAATGGTAGTCGATGGTGGTTGAAGGCTGAAGACCCTTGGCAATGCCTGGCCACTTGTTTCGAGTTGAAGGCTGCCTATGATCTCCCTGATCCTACCGACTTTGTCTCCAATCTACCAGTGCATCAAGATGGCACCTGCAACGGTCTCCAGCATTACGCAGCCCTTGGTGGTGATACCTGGGGTGCTCAACAGGTCAACCTTGTGCCTAGTGACCGACCTGCCGATGTATACTCGGCTGTCGCCAACCTCGTCAAGGAGTCGATCGAGAAAGACGCCAACGCAGGTAGTCAGATTGGAAAGAACTGTCTGGGTAAAATCACCAGAAAGGTAGTGAAGCAAACTGTCATGACCAACGTCTATGGTGTCACATTTGCCGGTGCTAAGCAACAAGTTTGCAAGCAGTTGGATGCCCTCTACCCAGACATGTACAAAGAGACTGGCATTCCGAATCTCGTGACCGCTACGTATATTGCACAGCATATCTTCAAAGCTCTTGGAACCATGTTCCGGGGTGCTCATGATATTCAGTACTGGCTTGGTGAGGTTGGTGCGCGTGTCTGCAAAGCCCTGACACCAGCCCAGCTCGATCAGTTGCAGGAAGAGAAAGATAACAAGCCTGCTGCAAAGAAGACTGCCTCGGGCAAGAGCAAGGACTTGGATGAGTTGACCTCACAGTTTCGATCTACAGTTGTGTGGACTACACCCTTGAGAATGCCTGTCGTGCAGCCTTACCGAAAGGCAATCACCAGAGAGATCCGCACTTGTCTGCAGTCTATCAGTTATCCTACACAGGGTCAGACAGAGCCTGTGGATCGCAGGAAGCAGCTTCAAGGATTCCCCCCCAATTTCATCCATTCACTGGATGCCAGCCACATGCTTCTCTCAGCCCTCAAGTGTGACGAGCTCGGCTTGAAGTTCGCTGCCGTTCACGATTCCTTCTGGACTCATGCTGCGGATGTGGACATTCTGAGCGGAGTTTTACGCGACGCCTTCATCCGAATCCACGAGGAGGATGTCGTCGGTCGATTGGCGACCGAGTTCGAGGCTCGATACAGGGGCTCGTTATACCTAGCCAACATCCCTAATTCAAGCCCTGCCGCCATAAAAATCAGGCAATTCCGCAAGACGAGCAAGCTCACTCAAAGGGAAGAAGTGTTGTTGGAACACAAACGCAACACTCTCCTCCGCTCAGGCAATCCCTGGGACATTGAAGCAGCAAAGAAGATCATTACGCCTGCCTCCATCGTTGAGGCGATGCCAGCCGCACAGGAGGAGGACCCCGAGATCCAGCATGAGACCGAGGACATTGGCGGCCTCGGAGACATTCCTGAATCGGAAGGCAACCTCTCGTCGGCAGTTCAGGAGGCTGTAAAGAATATGGAACCTTCAGAGGACAAGATTGCTGAGATGAGCAACAAGTTGCTTGAGCGTCTTAAGCAAACTAGTTTCGAGGCCAACGTTATCCAACCCAAGAAGGAAGTCAAGCAAAACTGGAAGCAAATCACACATTTCTGGCGCCCGCTGACCTTCCCCGATCTCCCCAAAAAGGTATGTCGAGAATTTAAGACATTGCTGTAATTTAACATATACTAACATGATTATCAGGGTGATTTTGACGTAAAGCGGCTACGAGAAAGTCAGTATTTCTTCTCATGATTAAGGGACCTCCTAAAGTCATTGTTATAATGTATCACTACGATGAAGACAGACATGAGAAGGAGAAATGATTTGGGCGTTGTGCATTTGGCGTTTAGAGATGGGGGTTTTTTTTTTCATGATAGCGAAGAACCAAAAAAGCATTCGGATAGAGGGAGTATGGCGGCTGTTGGCTGCATTTTGTATACCATGAGAGGAGGATGTAGAATATGTACTGTACATTAGTGTCGGAGGTGAAGAGAGGTCAGATGGAGTTGACGTCTAAACAAATAAACAACACCAAAAGATGTTCAAACATTTATGAGGTTCTTGGAAGTGCCGTTGACATTGGTCTATCGCATTTTTTGTTCTTCTACACTACTTGCTTCATAACTTGTTGTTTATCGCACAACGGCATCCTTGAGGCTGGGGACAGTGCAGACACCACCACTCTCAGTAACAAGACGTCCACGGCCAGTCTTTCCAAGCTGCTCAACAACACCCGCATCAAAAGCGACCTCAAGACCATCAGTGGTAGTGAAACCAGGCTGGAAAGTCTCCCAGATCTTCTTCTTGGGGTTGAGAACACCCTCGGGGCTACCCTCCCAGCCCTCGAACCAAACACGGTCGCCGGCCTTGGCACCCTCGGGAGGAGTGACGAGCTCAACTGGGCCCTTGTGGTCGTCGACCTCACCCTCCTTGATCTTGGGAGAGGCGGCGAGGACCATGGCGCAGGACTTGATGCCGCGCATCTTGACGGGCTTGAGGTTGCAGACCACGACGACCTTGCGGCCCTGCATGGACTCGAGGGGGATGAGGCCGTTGAGACCAGAGCAGACAGTGCGGCAGATTTGACCCTCGTACTCGACGTAGTCCTCGTTGCCGGGCTTGTCGCCAACAGCGATGGTGGAAACGTAGAGGGAGTCGGCGTCGGGGTGGTTGATGGCCTTGAGAATGTGACCGACTCGGAGGTCAATGAGAGCAGGGGAGAGAGGAGCAGCAGGGGCGGGAGCAGCCTTTTGCTTGGGAGCCTTCTCCTTCTTCTCCTTCTTAGGCTTATCAGTAGCAATCTTCTCCTTGGCCGTCTCAACAACCTCCTTGACCTTCTCCTTGGTGCGATCAACAAGCGAAGCCTCACCACCAGTGGCAGCAGCAGCAGCAGCCTCCTTCTTCTTCTTCTCCTTCTCAGCCTTGGCGTCAACGGGAGGCTTCACGTAAAGGACGTTATCACGATCAACCTGAACCTTGTTCTCATCCTTGACATCGAGGCCGAACAGGGGAGAGTTCTGGACAAAGTCGACGTGGCGGACGATGTGGGGGTGTCCCTTCTCGCCGGTTCGCTCCTCGGGAGACCACTTGGCGACGATGGGAGCGAGGGTCTCGTAGATGGCGACGTCGGCCTTGGAGGGCTTGCTGCCGAGGAGGGTGGAGCGGCTGGAGAGGTGGTTGTTGAGGGTCTCGAGGATGGTGGACTTGTCCTCGGGGGACTTGAGACGCTCGGAGGTGGTGAGCCATTGCTGGATCTCAGCCTCCTCGGTGGGAGTGTAGGTCTGGGAGGCGAAGGATGCCATTCTGAAGAATATCAACGGTGAGAGGCTTCGGGGTGCCTGGCGGAGAAGTCGGAGGGCGAACAGGTTGGCTGTGATGAGAGATGAAGCTTCGTTATAGCTTCACTCTAGAACTGATGCTTGAGAGTTGAGTGAGTGTCTTGATATTTTCTCTTGGTGGGGTGGAGGGGTAATTCCGGTCTGTCACCAATTGAATTGGCGGGGGGAGACGGGGGGCGTTACTGTGGCGCCGAGAGAAGAATGTGGCTGTGCTTGCAACGCGCTAACTCGTGATATCGCCCCTTTCTCGCGTTTCCTCCTTTACGCGCTACGCCCTTTGACTCTTGTATTGTCGAAGGAGAAGACTCGGCAACGACAATTGTGTCCATGAGAAGACACAATTAATTAGCTTGTCCATTGTACATCAATTGTTATTTTTTTGCTCCAAATTACTTGTTTACTTGGGCCTGTTTCTTCTAACCTCCCTTTTGTACTTCCCCTGAGAAATTTCTCCCTTTTCTTTTTTTTCACGCCCCGATTCGAGGCGAGTCAACTACATCATCCTGCTCACTAGCGGATCGGATCGCCGAAACCACTAAACAAGCCTTGAGCTCGACTCAGCCCCTGACGCTCTTTTTCTCTCTTTATATTCTTGTTTACTCATTATTTTACACATCGCTATAATATCATTTCAACATGGCGGCACCCAAGTCGCCGAGCAACTCTAGCTCAGCCCGTTCTAACTCACGGCTGCCTACAAGTGTGCCCAGCTCGCCGCCCTCGGAACAGCAAGATGATCTTGAAGGTGCCGACGAGGCGCTTATCAAGGAAGAGCAGGAGGCGCGTCTAGAAAATGAGAGGAATGAAGAGAAGCGACGACAGGCGATGCTCAAGAGGAAGAAAAAGAAGAAGGCTGAGACAAAGTCTGAGCGTGAAGCCAAGGCTAGAGAACTTGACGACCTGCTCGCAAAGTCAGCTGCTTTCTCAGATATTCTCACCAAAAAGACTCAGGTCTTGGGTCGAGTCGGTAGCAGTCTTGATGGCAAGACCCTGGGTGAGCATAGCCTGGAGATGGCGCAGCAACCCAAATGTATGATTAACGGCACCATGAGAGATTATCAGCTTGAGGGTCTCACATGGATGTACGAAATTTGTTCTCAGGGCATGTCTGGTATTTTAGCTGATGAGATGGGTCTTGGTAAGTCTGAGCCTCACTCTATGAGTATCTCATGAGTACTGACTCATTCCAGGCAAAACTGTTCAGACTATCGCCTTGATTGCCCTGCTTCGTGAGCAGGAGAATTATCTCGGCCCTCATTTGATCGTCGCTCCTTTGAGTACACTCTCAAACTGGGAGGACGAATTTACTAAATGGACGCCTTCTATCCCTGTCATCATGTATCACGGCAACAAAGATGACCGTGAGAAGATCTTCAGGACCAAGATGCTGAAGCATCTCAAGGGTGGCCGTCCTACCACGAAATTCCCAGTGGTGTGCACATCCTATGAAATGGTTCTCAGAGATCAACACAACTTATCCAAAATCAACTGGGAGTTTATCATCATAGTAAGTCTCATTATCTCATGGTCAGACCACATGAGATTAACATGAATTTTAGGATGAAGGCCATCGCATGAAGAATGCAGACGCCAAACTGTTCCAGCAGCTTCGTCAGTTCTCATCTGCAACTCGTCTCCTCATTACTGGAACACCTCTTCAGAACAACCTCAAAGAGCTGTGGTCACTACTGCACTTCCTGCTGCCCAACATCTTTACAGACTGGGAAGCGTTCGAATCTTGGTTTGATTTCTCTGATCTCGAAGATGAGAAGGGCACAGAGGAGTTCATCGCCGACCAGAAGAAGCAAGAGCTCGTAAAGAAGATTCACCTCATTTTGCAGCCAATGCTTCTGAGACGTATCAAACAGGATGTCGCCGCCTACCTCCCTAAAAAGAGAGAATATGTGCTCTTCGCGCCCATGACAAAGGAGCAAACGGATCTTTACAACGTGCTTACCAACAAAAAGGTCGATACCCGACAATATTTGGAGGACAAGGTGCATGAAAAGATCTATGGCCCCAATTCGACTGAAGCAAGCGCCAAGTCATCTCGATCAAGCAGCGTCGCGGCACCAAAGACTATGACACTCCCCGTTCGTGAATCCCCGCGTAAGAAGCAGGTTGAACCAGAGGCGCCGGCACCCAATGCCTTTTCGGTCATGATGGCTAAGCGTGGCCGTGGCAGACCACGTAAAAACCCGAAGGTCGAGGAGGCACCCGTGACACCCAAGTCTGGAGGTAAACGAAAGGGTGCCACTTTAGAGCCGGAGCCCAAGAGCGCCAAGTCCACTCGTCAGTCGACACCAGTGAGCACGCGTGGACGGCCGAGAAAGACAAGAACCTATAAAGATGCTGGTTCAGATGAGGAGAAGATGTCTGATGATGAGTTTGAAGCAAAGTTGGCGGATGAGATGGTCTCTGACGATGAGGAACTGAGTGATCAAGTGTCGATGACACCAGAGGAACGCAAACGGGTCGAGGCTTTTGATCTTGCGAGTAAGTTTACCCCTTTTACTACTCAAGGATACACTGACATGGCGTAGAAAAGCAGATCGCTCAAAAGAAGCTCGGCAACCCCTTAGCACAGCTGCGACTTGTTTGCAACTCACCTCACAATTTCTACAACCCTTGGATCGCTTCCCAAGATCTTCCCGTCGATGACTCCATAGTCACTGCTTCCGGTAAAATGCTTCTTCTCGATCGTTTGCTACCTCGGTTATTCCAAGACGACCACAAAGTCCTCATCTTCTCGCAGTTCACCACTCAGCTTGACATCCTTGAAGACTATTGCCGTGAACTCCGCGGCTGGAAGGTCTGCCGTATCGACGGCTCTGTCGCACAGGAGAGTCGACGAACTCAAATCGCCGATTTCAACAGCGATCCTGAGTACAAGATCTTCTTGCTCTCTACCCGCGCAGGCGGTCAGGGCATCAACCTCGCTTCGGCCGATACGGTCATTCTATTTGACTCAGACTTCAACCCCCAGCAAGATCTTCAAGCCCAAGACCGCTGCCATCGTATCGGCCAAACCCGCCCCGTTGTCGTATTCCGACTTGCTACCAAGGACACAGTTGAGGAAACCCTTCTCAACTCCGCCGACGCCAAGCGCCGACTTGAGAAACTCGTCATCAAGAAGGGCAACTTCAAGTCAATGGGTCAAAAGATGGACCTCTACGAAGACATCGACCCCGAGTCGCTCCGCGCTCTGCTTCTGAAGGATGGTCAAGTGTACAACACCTCAGGGGGCGAACAAGTCCTCAGCGACGCGGACCTCGATGTTCTCTGCGACAGGAGTGAGGCAGCTTATGAGAAGGCTGCGAGCGGACAGGGCGACGCTGATGCTTTCCGCGTTGTGGAAACTGGTGCTGATTCTATCAAGATGGCACGAAAGGATTAATTGTTATACATGAGTGTTATTATTTGCTGACGATATTTGTCGTTTGGGATTATTACTGGAAGGGTTATTTATATCTGTACGTTATCATAGCTGTGGATTTGCTCAGGCGTGTTACGGTCATCAGTCGGTACGGAGTTGAGGTGCTACGTTTGTACAAAAGACATCGGTTGGCAGAGAACCAACTGAAAACAATATACTCGCTCATTCTTTCATCGTGGTCCTTGGTCGCTTGGTGAATCGCATTTATTCTATGTGTAGTTACCAACGAGCAGACAAACACAAAGTTCCAAAAAATACCTGCTAAGGTTTTGTGTATACATCATTTGGGCTTGCCGCCCTAAGAAGTAGATGTCGATTCAAAACGAACATAAACAGCCAAGTTGTCTGTGCTGATTTAAGCTCTCAGCCATAGGTCTCAACTGCAAATGATACATCTAGCTCACAACTTGTAGGTTAACCCATAATGTCTAACCAATTACTACAGCATGAGGCTGATAAAAGGGGGATCTAGAGACCGTAAACAGCGAATCATGAAGAAGCCTGGTTCTATACTTCATAGCCAATATCACTGCCAAACAAAGGAACTATTAAACTTTGGTACCATAAAGTAAGGTAGGTAAGTAGGTATATAAGGGAGACACATCCTCCGTCTCTTGGTCCCTTTCTTTTCCTCTCTTCATCATCACCAAACCCTCCTCTTGCCCACACTTCTCTTATATCTCAGATTATTTCTGTCATATCGCTCATCACCTATATTACTCATCGCCTCTATTGTCACGAGACGTCTTCCCAACACACCACCAACGATATGCTCGCCAAGCTCACTGACACCCGAAAACATTGAGGCTACCACCAAAACGACCGATGACACCATTGACACACCGAAATCTTCTACCAACGAGCTCGAATCCGCCGCCATGGACCTAGAATCCGCCGCAAAGGACCTAGAATCCGCCAACAAAATGCAGCTCGAATCTCTCAACAGACTAGAGCTCAACGTCAGCAAAGTCGATTCGAGAGTGCGCCGTATGAAAGGCGAGCTGCAGAAGAAGCAGAGACCAGAAGAGTCAGGGCGTGTCGTCAAAAGGGTTCAGGAGAAAGACAAGGGGCAGAGGGTGCCACTAATGCTGAAACATACCCTTTTGCCAGAAGAGACACAAAAGAGAATATTGGAGGAAGCCAAGAAAAGGGTTGCATCTGGGGACCGCACAAACCATGGCCTGCCCATAGATACCGACAGGTTGAGCGCTGCCAGAGCTGTACTAGAGAGCCAACGGGCAAGTTCTAGTCTTGGAGAAAAAGAAAGATCATCTCATCATAAGCTATAAGAGGTATCTGATAATAAAAACACCCAACGCCTATCCCCCCCAAACCTGCCATTGATGCTTATGTTGGATACTAGAGGGTTAATTAATCTCTTCCACGAATCCAATCTGCCTCCTGGCATCCGCTCCCCCTCCAGGTCCTGAAGCAAGTCTCTTTGCCAATCTCTCCTGCGTCTCAACCAATTTTTTCTGTGCCTCGAGTCTCCTCTTGACTCTCTCATCTGCACCGCGTTCGATGCGTTCCAACTCTTCACGCTCACTGATGCGTAGACTACTAAGTGCTTGCGCATTACCGGCTCGTTCAGAGTTCAATTTAGATTCCCACTCAATCATCTTCTGTTGTCTGGTCTCTTCGGCTAGGAGTTCAGCTGCGGCGACTTGTTGGATACGCTCGAGACTGGACTGCGTAACCTTGCTCTGCTCCAGCTGTCGTCTCTTGACAGCTGCTAGGAAGAGCGTTTCTTCAAGATCAGCCTTTTGTCGGGTTGCATTGATATCTTCGTTGTGAAGTCTGCGACGGCGGGCGTCCTCGATCTCTGCCTTGTGATTCCAGATCTCTCTCTCCACACTGGCCACTTCCTTTGCTCGTGCGAGCGCAATAGCGTGATCTTCAGTTTCAAGTGCCAGTCGTCGTAATCTGGCTTTTCTTTCGCGTTCTTGGACTACCATATCATTGGGGAGACCAACTGCATCATCAGGCTGGTCTCCAGAGTTGGCGTAGTAGACATCCACTGCTCTGTTCGCCCGAAGAAGGCAGAGAAGCTGGTCTCGAGTATCCGATTCGGGCATCACTTTGCTGACGTACATTGTCGGAGAATATGTAAACTCGCCATCAGTGTAATGGTTGAACGGTTTGTTGATCTCCTTCCACATAGCCACTTTCAAGAAACTGCGAGTAGTGACAATAGGGTCTGTAGAATCGAAGCAAAGAAGAAGCAGAGACTTTCCATGCGACTGCAAGGTCAAATCCGAACCAGCGTCAATCAAGAACGTCATCACCTTCTGCATGAGCTTCTCTGCATCTGCCGTCATTTTACCAGACCCTGCGCCATGGCGACAGACTTCACCCAAAGCAGATCTTCCGTCGTGTAGTGGACTAGGGAAGTCAGGATGATGGCCATGTTCCACTAGAACTGATACTGCTGCAAAGTTGAGTTCTCTGGCGGAGTTGTGTAGTGATCCATCATCTTTCGATTGATCAAATGCCAGTAAGTTGCCCATCATGCGAGTTGACAGCTCACCACCAATATCGGTGGCCATTGCGAGAGGTGTTCTGCCCATGGCATCGGTAATATCGACACTCGCTCCTTCGATGAGTAGTTCCTTAACTATATCAGGTCGGCGAGCTTGGATAGCGATCATAAGGGGGGTGGTTCGGCTGATTGTTGTCTCGAAGTTGACGTTCGCTATAAATGTTAGATCTGAGTCTACGAGGAGCAAATGATCAAAGACTTACCACCACGCTGGATCAGCATCTTAATCAGTGCTGAGCTGACCTTTTTCTGTGGCTGGGCAATTGCCCAGGCAAGCACCGTCACCTCTTCAGGCTCCTCCACGCTGTCGTGGATACGATATGTTGTTGTCTGATCGTGATAGAAACCAGCATCCAACAACGTCTGCAACAGCTCTGTCGACCTAGGATACTGTGAAATCGCCCTGATGAGAATCGGATCAGACCCAGCACTCCGCGTCATTACATCTAGCCCGACCTCTCCATCGCGATATCCTGAAAAGAGTTCAAACAGCTTCAGCACCTCATCAGGTGACCTTGCCGTATCAAACACACGTTCGAAAGCAAGCGTGAGAGTCTGTGGTGATGGCTTGCAAGCAAGCAGCCTTTCTGTCCAATGGGCATTACCCTTTGATGCCGCGGAAACCAGGGGTTCTCCATTCTCAAAGTCAATATCAACCCCATGAGCGACAAACAAGTCAACAAACTCATCAGCCAATGACTCAGTCTCGTCTGTGCTATTCTTCATCACCTGCACCAGAGCACTGCTGACAGACACTCCTTTAGCCCCTTTCGCTAGAAGCATTTTTGCAACCTCTAGACCGTTCGGGGAGAACCATGTGCTGAACTGTGTCTCTGAGAATCCATTTTCGAAAAGCTTGAGTATCTCGTCCTCGTCGATCTTACTGCCCAGGAGAAGATCTAGTGCCGCAACCTTGACACCTTGCACAGCTTGGGTAAGGGCAAAGCAACCATTTGTGAACGGCGATGCTCCAGAATCAAGCAAGACCTGTATTAGCCGTTCATCTGGTTCGTCTTCACCAACTGCCTTGCTCAAGGCGATGTGGACTTCATCCACAGCTGGCATGCCTGCCTTCATCAGATCTTGAACTATATGCAGCCTGGTATCTTGGTTAAGCTTCCAGCTTGCCTTCATGGCCCTAACCAAAGTCGGAGGCGATGCCTTTTTCTACAAACACGTTAGCGGCAGCGTTTCCAAACAACTTGTCAAACTTACCTGATTACCGCCCTCGTGCCACAATCCCAACAATAACTCAAGACTACCGACAAAGGCACTTCGGGTTGCTGCCACAACTGCCTCGCCGTTACTGTAGTTGGGGTCTGCACCCGCTGCCAGCAAAACACGCAACACTTCATGTCCCTCTTCCCCGTACTTTGCAGCTGAAACGAGCTGAATGTCGACAACCTCTCCAGAAACACCCCTCTTGAGGAGACGCTGAAAGACCATTGCCCTTTTGTTCAAATCTCTAACCTCAGTCGCAGCTTGGAATCCACGCTCCAATGTCATCTTCTGAGTATCGGCATTGGACTTGAGAAGCACATCAAGAACTTCAACAGAACCACCGCGGCATGCTTCAATGATAGCTTGACCTCCGTTGGTGGAAATACTGGCACCATGAGCAATAAGAATATCCCCAAGTTCGAGATCACCATCCCTCGCCGCGACAAGCAGAGCGTTAGAGGCTGCTTGAGATGAGACCCCAGATTTTGCTAGACGATTGCAGATTATAAGACGAACCGTCCAGTCGGCGATCTTCATCGCTTGATCCAAGCAAGAATCTCTGGTCTCGTCCGTATGCTTGAGCTGTGAGAGAAGAAGATCCAAGACTTCGACGGACTCTTTGGTGACAGCAAGTGTCAGGGCTTCCCCATCAGACGCATCAGCATAAGTGGCTAGAACGCATATCAAAGCTACGTCTGTAGTGAAATGGCTAATAGCATGGATCAATGCTCTGTTGACTTCACGAGGGGAGGCTCCAGATTCTACTAGACTCTTAGTGAAAGTCAAGCGGGTCATAGGATCCGAGATCTTTAGGGCCTGCGGAAGAGCGAATGCTAGTGATGCCGCTGTCGGTGGTTTCTCACTGGCGAACAGGGTATCAACTATCGTGTCCTTCGCTTCTTTGACCGCACTGCATAGTGCTCTTGCCTGGAAAGCGTTCACATCGGCGCCGCGATCCAAAAGTTTCTGCAGTGTTTTGAACGAGGCATTGCCAGATTTGTCCTCGATAAGAGTCTGGACTTCATGCACAAGCATTGCATCCAGGTTGATCTTCTTGGGTGATCTGGTCAGAATAACATCAAGCTTCCACGCTTTGTTCTCGCTGGAAGGGATTTTTGCTAGTCCTTCGAGACAAACAGAGATGGTGTCATGGTTGTGTTTGCCCAAGGTCAGGATCAGATCAATAACCTTGGGGTCAGGGGTTTGGGCGGCTTTCTGCAGAATATGGCCATTGAGGCCGTTGATGTCTGGCCTTCCTTGTTCAAGGATAAGTCGAAGAAGAGACATGTCAACAGGGATTTCCGATATATTCGCAAGGAGAGCTTCCGCGACCTGTTGTCCAGCGACGCTCGCCCTGGCGTTAAACAGCATTGACATCATCTCGTACCTGATTTGGTGGTTATCGATACTCATCACATTGTTGACATGCGCAGCTGCTGTCTGGGGAGAAGCGTTTTGCATCAATTTGGTGAACAACCCCAGGTCCATCTGATTTATGATCTGGGTGAGTCCAGCGCCGTCGTCATAATTGATGTCCGCATTATACTTGAGTAAAAGATCGATCAGAGCATCATCTCTCTGGGAAGGGTCTTCACTGATTGCATCTTGAAGAGCCTTGTGCAAAGCTGGGCCGGTCAGAGCTCCCCTTAGGAACATTTCAACCATACGATATCGATCCGTCGGGGGGAGGCTCTTGACTAGAGGAAATATTGCGGTAAGTGTTTCGTTTGAAGGTCTTGCAAACAGGATTTTGGCTGCCATGTCTGCATTTCCGGCTAGGATTGCTATGCGTAGGGCCTCTCCGTTCTGATAATCAGGCGATGCAACAGCGTGACGGTTAGTGATGCGTGGCTTTACCTGCCCATTTTGCTTCCCACTGGGTGGCTCGCGAAAGTGAGGGTTGAGTAGAAGTTCTACAGAATGAGCGTCCCCAGCTTTAGCAGCTAGAATGAGGCAATCATTCAGGACATCGCCATTTGCTCCCCGTCTGAGGAGCGAGTATAGCAAATTTTGTCGAGTTCCAGGATCTGCATGCTCAGGAATCAGAGGGACACAACTTGATGCCAACGTAGGATCAATCTTGGACGATCCGTTGAGAAGAGAGCCCACAAGGCTGGTTTGGCCCTTTGAAATGGCGGTTTTCAAAGCAGAAGCGTCGTTGTGCTCGATTGAAGCCCCATAACGAGCCAAAAGGTCAGCCATATCAAAGAACTGTGTCTCGCAGGCCACTTCAAGTGATCTTTCCAGTATAGGGCCCTGGGCGCCGCAACAAAGCAGAAGCTCAGCAAAGTCAAGTTTTGACCGTGGTTCTAGTTCTGTGTTGTTCATGAGCTGCTCGAAAGCCTCATCAAGGCCGGGACTTTGAGGCGACTTGTTTCCCGTGGCAATTGCCATTGCGATATCTCTTCGCTGGTCGTTGATAGCGATTTTGAGAGCTTCAGCGTTATTGTAGTTCCCGTCTGCGGTGGAACGACTCAGATGTAAAACAGTGTCGAAACATTGTGCTCTTGTGGCGTCGGTAAGCGCCTG